ACTAGTAGAGAGCTTTTTGACTTTGCTTATGACAAACATAAGGAAATTCGTGGTAATGATTGTAGCAGCAGCAGCAGCAGTGGTGGTGTTGGTGTTAGTGATTTGCAACAAGTACACAAATCACATCCAGATGCATACCATACAAGTAGAATATTAGATGATGAGATTGCTAGATCAAAATGCTTTAAAAGTTATACAATTAATGATAATTTGTTAGATTTTGGCTTTCTTGGTTAACAAAGGTGAATAAAAATTCCATATTAATTAATTGGAAATTACTATCCATTAATTATTACTAACAGTTTGATTGATTAATAAGCATTAGATTCTAGTGATTAAAAGAAAGAATTGATGTGACTAATTTAATCTCCACTATAATTTATTTATTCATTATAACTATTTATATTTTTATTTTATTTTTCTAAATTATAATATTTCTTATAATAAACTTTTTACAGTTTTCTAGTTCTTGTTAAATGGTGACATTGCAAGGCAAGGCAGTCTTTTGGTTAATGCTGATTACAGCTTAACTTTTGGGTTACTCTTGGTCAGTTAATTAATTGCAAGCAACTCACAATAATTTGATGCTTATCAATTAATTGGTTTACAAATTTACTCTGGTCCTCACTTAATGCCTCTTTCTTGTATGTGAATCTGTAAGCACTTTGATTAAAGCTCCGAACAAGCTGAGCCGAGTTTATGCTTAGCTTGAGCTTGACTCGACTTGAATCAAGGTTGGGTGATGAAAATATTTTGGAGTGTAAAAAATATTTTGTCAAACGGATACATCTGACAAATGTGATGAAATATGACGAAAATGATGAAAATGACAAAGGGCAAAAGGCAAAAGCCAAAAGTCAAAATCAATTGATTTTTTCTTTGGTCGATTAGAACAGTGCTTTCATAAAAGTTTGACAAAAGAGCTTGGGCATTTGATTTTTGTTTATTTCATTGTTTTGTTGATTGTTAATTTCATCCAAATAAAAATGAGCAATAGAATAATGACATCCAGGGCTAAATGAGCCTTGAGTTTAAAAGGTGTTCTATGATTCCAGGTTTTTGGACAATATTTGCAAAATACTGAGTAATGTCCTTTTCCTTTTTCCATGCATCAGACACAGGACATCCTGGAGCCAATTCTTGGTTATTGTTAAATAAATTCCTAAATTTAATATTTATAAATTCATATTATATGATGAAATTGAAATTATGTGAAATTCTGATTGGCTAATTTGAATTTCACACCATGTAAATTCGAATTTCACATACGTGAATTGCGAATTCATTTTCACGTACAATAACACCACCATGAATTTTTTTTTTTTTTTAATTACACCTTGAACCAAAATTTAAAATCCACAAAATAATTGTTTGCTTAATTGTCATTTTTGTCAAATTTCTCAGTGTAGAAATCTTATTTCGTTACATTTACTTTCATCATATGATGAAAAGGAGACATTCGTCACCCAACCTTGACTTAAATATGCAAGTTCAAAACTCGAGCTCTTGAGTCAACTTGAAATTTTTTTATAAAATCATGATTTTGCAGACCACTGAAAATAATTGAAGCAATAATGAATTGTATACTAATAACATGCTTGAATTTAGAACATTTAAATGATTTTATGACAGACTAAAAATTTCAAATGGGAACAATTCTATGTTTTAATAAAAAATTTTTTTAGATTCTGAAATATATGCATAAGAAAGTTGCATTTAAAGTAACGCAAATTTAATTATAATTCATCGAAACAACTGTATAAATAGTTTTATCATTTATTCGAGTTATCCCAAATCATTTGTTTTATTTATTTGAATTATTCGTTTTGTTCGTTTTGTTTATTCATTTTATTTTTCCTTATTGTTTTATATTCTAATTATTCTAACTATTCGTTTTTTTTATTCATTTATTCAAATCACCCGAACCATTCATTTTATTCATTTATTCAAATCATTCGAATCATTCTTTTCTTCGCTTTATTCTCTAAGTTGGACAGACTCAAGTTAAAACTTGAATTTTCAAGTTCGAGCAGAGTTCAAGAAAATAGGCCCTTAAATTGCTTTTTAGGTTATTATAATCACTGACAAAAAATTTAGTTTATACATGAATTTGACCTAGATACGGTAGTAACCTATTACTATTACTATCTATGAAGTTATGAAAATTGTTTGTTACACGCCATTCAATTATTTCTCTGCAAAAGGAAATAATACAAAGAATTATGTAAAAATAAAGAATTATGAATAATTATAAATAAATAAACAGACTAGTGCTATTCTCGGTATAAAAAAATTTTGTTTTCTCCACTCTATTCAATAAAACACAATAATAGATTGAGTCAAATAAATTTTTAAATCTTATAAATACATTTACTTTTATATGATGTCTCAGTAAATTATTATCATTAATACCACTAGAAAGAAGGGGATTTGTATTTAAAATTAACAATGAAATGCATAATAATACAATAGCCAATTCTGAAATAGAAACTGAAAAAGATCATTATTTTTCATTAGTCAAAAAAAACAAGAAGCTTTCTGAAAATGAAAAAGAATATTGTAAAAAATGGTATATTTATAATGTTGAATTAAATAATGTAACATATAAATATGGCAAACCAAAAGAATGTAACAAGTGTAAATCAAGATACTCTGATAGGTTCGGTGAAGGTTGTA